CCGGCATGACTAAACACTGAGGCGCACGGAACACTGTTACCTTCCCACCGAAGTGGTACCTATTGATCTACTTGCAATATCTTGCTTTCGAACTGTTAGGTTGGCAGGAGCTGGAACTAGAGATGGGAGCTCACTCCATCATGTGGTACCTGGGTCTTGAACTGCTGAACTACTGACCTTCCACAGCCTGCAGTTCAGCATCTTAACCACTTGAGCCACCGCAGCTCCAGAATGCCAGGTACCAGGAGACATGATAAACTGCATAAAGGACAGCAGCTGATAACCTCCGAGTTGATATATCCTCACTGCAAGGCCCCATGGGCTGGGACCAAGGCTCCCTTTTGGCCAGGGTTGTCAAACATGCAGCCCGGGGGCCGGATCAGGCCCCCAGAGGGCTTCTCTCAGGCCCGCAGTGGAACTGACTGTCTTCTACTGCTTCTTCCGGTTCTGCTGCTGCTGCTGCGTCATCGTAGGTTTGCAGCTTACAGATGCACACCTGAACAGCGTACTCGAGATTGCAACAGCACAGACATTTTGATACAGTAATTCAGAGCAAGAGGGGTCAGTTATCCGACACGGTTAAATAAACAAAACATTGCAGAGAGTGCTACTGTTTTAAGCATGTTTTTATTTTAAGTTTTAAAAAAGCCCTTTGTGTTTGTGTCCTTTATAAAGTTTATATCTCCGCTTCCTGGCATTCCATTTTATGACACGCGTGGCCCGGCCCAACAAGGTCCCATTTACGTCAGATCCGGCCCTCATAACAAATGAGTTCGACACCCCTGCTCCAGGCTGTGGAGTCGCGTGAGCAGAAATTCTACTTTGTGGGCGACTGGCATTAAAGATGTGAGCGAGCAATTTGGCTAACTGCATAAATTAGTCTGCTCCGGAGCCCTCCTTTCTGAGCTAAGGCAAACGTGTGAGCCGGAGGCTAAAAAACTGTGAGCTGGCTCACACTAACTCAGCTTAGAGGGAACATTGGCTGGAAGGGGAGTGCAAAGGAAAGCCCATACAGGCGGACTGGGGAGCTAGCGGTGCAGCACTGGGCAGATGCTCCCACACTGCTTGACTGCTGCGGATAAGGTTGTTCCGCCATGCCGAAGCCACAACCATACTGGCTCCACCCACTCCCCCCCCCTTCAAGCAGTCTCCTGTTCCCTCCCGCGCACATCTCAATTTAAAATCAGAGCCTTACCCTGGAATTCGTCCATCGGCTATTGCTAGTACCGACTGACACCTGTTATGGATAATACTCGGAAATTTGTTTCTTTCGCCGTCCAACATGTGATATCTACGTATAACACTTTAGAATCGTTGTATGATTTTATTCTGTTTTTAACATTTTTACGGAAGCCGCCCTGAGCCTGCCTTGGCAGGGAGGACAGGGTATAAATCTAACAAATCAATCAATAAGTAATAGTTGCTCGCGGACCACATCAGAGCCTTGGATGGGCCAGTTCCGGCCCCCGGGCCTTATGTCTGACACCCCTGCCTTAGAGACTAACAAGATTTTCAGGGTATGAACTTTCTACAGTCAAGCCTCCCTTTGTCAGACAGGGATTTTCATTCCTCCTTGTATCTGACAGAGAGATATTTGACGTGCCCCGGAAATCTTGTCTGTCCCCAAGATGCTACTGGACTCAAATCCAGCTGCTCTACTGCAGACTAACGTGGCTGTCCGCCGAAACTAGGACTATATACGATGATCATATAGGATGATACCCTGACCTGGATAGCCCAGGCTAGCCCGATCTCGTCAGATCTCAGATGCAAAACAAGGTCGACCCTGGCAAGTATATGGATTGTTGTTGTTCAGTCGCACAGTCGAGTCCGACTCTTCGCGACCCCATGGACCAGCTCCCGCCAGGCCCTCCTGTCTTCCGCCGTCCTCTGAAATTGGCTCAATTTCATGTTTGTTGCATCTATGACACTGTCTAACCATCTCATCCTTTGCAGTCCCCGTCTTCTTTGACCTTCAGTCTTTCCCAGCATCAGGGTCTTCACCAGTGAGTGCTCCCTTCTCATTTGGTGGCCAAAGTATTTGAGCTTCAGTTTCATTATCTGGCCTTCCAGGGAACAGTCGGGGTTGATTTCTTTTAGGATTGACTGATTTGATCTTCTTGCAGTCCAAGGGACTCTCGAGAGTCTTCTCCAGCACCATAGTTCAAAAGAATCTATTCTTTGGCGCTCGGCCTTCCTTATAGTCCAACTCTCGCAGCCATACCTGACTGTATATGTATATGGATTGGAGACCTCCAAAGGATACCAGGGTCGTGGGGCGGAGGCGGCCAATGGGAAACCACCTCTGAATGTTGGGAAACCACCTCTGAATGTCTCTTGATGTGAAGACCCCGCCAGGGATCACCGTGTCATCTTAGACTTGATGGCACTTTCCACTATTATTGGTGGCTAAGAAGCAGCATTTCTTTCTTTACTCCATTATATTGTCTTCCCTTTTTTTGTGTGTTTTTTTTGTGTGTGTGCGTGTGTGCCTGGGAATCATCGCAACCTCTGGTGACTGACTGTGTGCGCACCTGGACGTCATGGCGACCACTGGTGACTGACCCCCTACTGGGGGCCTGGAGGATATTCAGAGAGGTGGCTGAACAAAGCCTGCCCCCGCCTCCCGACTGCTGGTATTCCAAGGAGGTCTCCCATCCAATGACTTTATTTATTTATTTATTTACTTATTTATTTATTTTGCGATTTCTATCCCGCCCTACCCAGTGGCTCAGGGCGGCTAACAACAATATTTAAAATAGTAAAACAATAAAACAATTTTACATATACAATAAAACTGGTGCTTCAAAGCTATACAAATCTATACTTTATACAAGATGCTCAGCGAGTCATGTTTGCGACCCACAGACTTAATAGTGGGAGTGCCCCAACGCAATCAAACTAAACCCCCTCCATGGAATCTGGTAGGTGGACGGTACATCGAGGATGGTATAGCGAAGATAGTGGCGGCGGCTCCTACCCAAAAGCCTGGTGGAAGAGCTCCGTCTTGCAGGCCCTGCAGAACTGCACAAGGTCCCGCAGGGCCCGGATCTCCTCCGGGAGCTCATTCCACCAGGAAGGAGCCGCCGCCGAAAACGCCCTAGATCTAGTATGGGCCAACCTCGCAGCTCGGGGAGCTGGAACTTCCAGACGATGGAGCGTCCCCGACCACAGTGCTCTTGCCAGAGTCGACCCTGCTTAGCTTCCGAGATCTGACGAGAGCGGGCTTGCCTGGGCTATCCGGGTCAGGGCACTGGCTTCCCATTTTTTTATTTTATTTTTTGTAGCTTACCATTGATTGATTTGATTTGTTTGATTTAATCTGTATCCCGCCCTCCCGACCAAGGCCGGCTCAGGGCGGCTTACAGAACAGGGTAAAAATTCCAACAGTACATATAAAACCACAGCAACAGTTAATCTAAATGTAGTGTTAGAACCAAAAGTTAATAATAAAGTGCTAGCATAGTTCTTCACTTTCAACGTCCGCTCCATGGGTCTGCTTCAGTTGTTTTGGGGGGTTTGGCTCGGGCAATGATTAAAGAAAAAGACGAGATTGGATGTATACCCCGCCCTTCACTACCCAGGAGCTGCGGTGGCTCAAGTGGTTAAGACGCTGAACTGCAGGCTGTGGAAGGTCAGTAGTTCAGCAGTTCGAGACCCAGGTGCCGCATGATGGAGTGAGCTCCCGTCTCTAGTTCCAGCTCCTGCCAACCTAGCAGTTCGAAAGCAAGACATTGCAAGTAGATAAATAGGTACCACTTCGGTGGGAAGGGAACAGCATTCCGTGCGCCTTATTGTTTAGTCATGCCGGCCACATGACCACGGAAACGTCTTCGGACAGCGCTGGCTCTTCGGCTTTGAAACGGAGATGAGCACCGCAACCCTAGAGTTGGATTCGACTGGCTTTCGAGCAAGGGAACCTTTACCTTTACCTTCACTACCCTCCTCCTCGTCTTCTTCTTCCTTGGACTTATTGTCCTGGAGGGACTGGTGTCATCTATCTTTTTTTTGCTACGCGGAGATCCTCGTGTCTTTATGCCTTCCCGGTAGGTAAAGCACCTCGAACAGCCTTTCAGAAATGACGTCCTCCTGAGTCAGCCAGGCTGACTTAAAAGAGTAACTCTGGGGTGGTTGGATGGGAAAGAACAAAGGAATCTTCGCAGACGAACATCGGGACTGACAAGACGTGCAATTTCGGGATGAATATTTTACGTGTTTGACGAACACAGCCCCGTCTCCTGTCTGTAGGACGTAGCCGATAATCAGCGTCGTTTGTAGCATCTTTCTGGGTTTCGGGGAGCGGAGAGAGAAAGGAGGAAGGGAACAGGTCGAATCCCTGCTTCCATCCCCTGCCCCCTGTTCGTTCACTAGTGGGTATTGTGTGTGTGTCCCAGTTTGAGAGGCAGGGATGCAGAAAGAAATGGAGATTTGGGAGGGGGGAGGCTGGAGATACAAAGGTTGTAATCTAGCGCCTCGGGCCCTGGAGGCACAGTAAAGAACGCTAATGGAACGGCTCCACTCAGGTTCTCCTGTGAGAAATAAAGGACGCATTAGTAATCGTACCCCCAAGAGACGGGGACAAAGCAGGCTACAAAATCCCTCTTCCACGGATGGGAGGAGAGGTAGCTGATGGGAAACTCTAATGCATTCCAAAGGGGACGTGCCAATTTCCCATCGTTCCACCAGCAAGTACGGGGAGCCTTCAAAACAACACACATCTCGATGCAAGCGGTCGATGGAAGAAAAAAAGTAAAGTCTTTGGAAACGAGCGTTTGGCCAGTTGTGCCATCGGCGGGGCCAAGTCACCACTGTGCCATTTTCTGATTAAAATTAGTTGGTGGCTTTTCAGTTTTGCAAATGGGGAGTTTTGGCTGTGCGGACCGTGCTCTGTTTGATTGGCTTGCAGGGCGACCTTATTTTCAATAGTAGGGGAGAGCTCAGCCAAAATTTCGGTGAGAGCACTTTTGAGTTGGTTATTTCTTCATACCTGGTGCCAAGCTAGGTCAGTGAGTGCTCTTAAAATCACTTGTTTTTTTAAAAAATACCTATTATCCCATAGTGTCTCGGAGCGTCGGCAGCAAGATATGGTTGTTAGCTGACTGCTTAAGCACATAAGAGAAGCCAATGTTGGAGCAGGCCAATCCAGTCCAACACTCTGGGTGATTTCCCACAAGCGCTGCTCCGCGCTCACGCCTCCCTTTTGCCCCGATGGCACGTGTCAATTTCACACAAGCTGCTGCGCGGTCGCATTTTGCCCCGCAGCTTCATGCGATTTTCCCTGTGTCTACTCAATCCTCAAAGAACAGGATTGAGTAGACGCGGGGGAAATCCCACGACATTGCCTGACATACGGTGATGTAATATCAAATTGATCACTAGAGGGAGCAAAACGCAGGCAGAAAAGAGGGGGGAAAGCCAAAGCAACGGAGACACACAAGCAACGAAAATGACAATGTGGAACAGCCCCAGCTGTGCCAACTTGTCCCACTGAATGAGTAGGATTGTCAGGCTGGAGGGTTGGGGGAACAGGGATATGGGGGCCACAGGATCGCATGTGCTGTTATGTAACTTCTGGGGGAAACCTGGAAGTGAAATTAGGTTAGCTGTAGGAATCACCGGAAGCTCTACAGTAAAACTCATAGAGTTCTCAGCAGTTCCTAGAGCTACCCTCTGTCACTTCTGGGTTTTTCCCGGAAGTGACATAACACTGCATGTGACGCCACCATTTTTAAAAATGTTTTCTTCCTCCACCTCTTGGTGTCAGGCAACGAAAGCTGACCATGGGATTGGTGAGCCTGTGAGTGAGCCTTGGTCGTTTTTTTGGCAGGACGGGCGCTCTTACGATTAAACGCGGAGAAGCTGCAGCGCATGGGGATTATCCACGAGTCTCAGCGGCAGGAAGTCCTCCAGCAGGTGCTCCAACTACAGGTGCGGGAAGAGGTCCGCAACCTTCAGCTCCTCAGTCAAGGTAGAGCGGGGGAGGGGAGGGGGGAATGGCATGGCGTCATGCGGCTCCCCCTCTGTGCCTGTACAGAGGGGTGATGGGTGGAGGGGCAGGCAAGGTCATGGGGTGAAGCAGCCCGAAGTACTGTGGGTCCTACAGTTGTGGTGACCTCCTTTGTCCTTAAGTGGCTGTCGGTGTTCCTCGACAGCTTCCGTACTTATTCCCCGTTTCTCTTTCTTTCTGATCCCACTTCCCTTTCCAGCTTCTTACGGAAATGTCTCGTAACCCCACCACCTGTCTGGCAGCAGACTGGCGCAACACTGTGACCTGAAACATCTCTGGGATGATGGACGGTGTGGACCGCACAGCGGGACTCCTCAACTGCATGCTTGGGAAGAGATGGGGACAGACTCCAAGGGACGCAGAGGGCGATCACTCATTTTCCCTCCCCCCGTGACACTTCATTCTCCATCTAGACCCCAGCCATCCTCTATGGCAGGACAAGCTGCAAATCCATGCCGCGAGAAGCAAGAGCCCCCCTAGACTCACAAGACTCGACCGTGCAGGTATCCAGTCACAGTGTACAACTGCTCCTTGGCCGGACCCAGAGGTCACGGATCTTCTTCTCTCGATGAACACAGTGGACTTTCCAAGCCAGCAGAGTTTGCAAAGGTCTCCATACGTATTTCTTGTCTCATTTCAACAGTCATGATAGTTTTCCCAATGTGGTTGGGGAACATGTGAGAGACGGTGCAGCGGAAGCATGGTGCGGTTCCTCGCAAAGAACCCCCAGTTGGAATCCTGGCTTTTCCACGAGTTCATGAGGTGGACTTTGGCAAGAAGAGTTTTCCCCAATCTTCAGTATGTAGATAAGACTGGCCTGCCTTGCAGGGTCGTTGCTAAGGACTGCAGCATCATAACGTACGTGAAGCGCTTTGAACATTTCCAAGTTCCATGTAAATGCAAACTGTTGTTATTACGTGACCGTCAAGAGAGCCGTTTTTAAAAGAAAAAAAGCTACAGTAGGTGGATATGGCAAATCAGAGGCTGTGACTTCCGGCTGCCTCCATGCAGCATTAGAAATTGCGCTACTATCGTTGTGCCATAGTAGTCGTTTGCGACTGGATTGGCTTGTCCATACAACGTAAAGCAGCCGCAAATTATTGGAGTAGCACAGTGATAACACAATACCCATTGATGTGTGGAGGCCCCTTAAGGGTGGTCTTCTTAAGGCCCTCTGCGGGGTCCTTGGGAGAGCCTAGATCTGAACCGGGGACTTGCGGGCTCCTTGCTTCCTTAGATGTGAATGTAGCAGGAATTGGAACTCTGCATTTTCCTCCAGACGGTCGCAGAGGTGGTGTGGATGGCACCGAGGCCGCAGATCTTAACCCTTTTGAAATCTCCGTGCTCTGTCTTTATCCCCCCCACCTCACCTTTTAGTCATTAAGCAAGACCTGTCTACAGTGAAACATATATGTTTAGAACGTGTCCGTCTGTCCTCCCAGGTCATATATTGTCTTGAATGTAGTCCCTTGTTTCTCTTGTGTGCCAAAAAAACAACGTTTCTCAGAAATTTATTTAATTGCTCGAGAGGACCCACTGTGAACAGATGAAACTGCCTTATGCTGAGCTAGATCTTTGGCCGGTTGACCCCAGACCAGACATGGGTCAACTGCTGTCACACCTGCATTTTCAATCCACTTTAGCTACCATTTGCGAGTGGATTTTGCCATTTCACGCAGGACATTTCTGCCTCCTCATTATCCTCACTTGTAAGTTCCTTTTTCTTTGGGGGTCTGTTCTGTGTCTTGCTCCTTCTAGTGGTCGATTCGATATTACAGTGCTTCATGTCTGGCATAGAAACCTGAAGTTTAAATCTGTAGGGAGACATGCTGGAGATACACCATTGTAATATCGAATCGACCACTAGAGGGAGCAAAACAGGTGCGGGACAGGGGGAAACAGGAACCTACAAGCAAGGGAAACGCGCCGAGCAAAATCCAGTTGCAAAGTGCATTAAAAGGAGACTGAAAGCACGTTATCCAGTGTGTGTGCGAGCACCCTTTAATGCATTATCCAGCCTGCAGGGACTATCCATCCTGCCTTCAAGTTGCATTAAGAACATAAGAGAAGCCAAGGTTGGATCAGGCCAATGGCCCATCCAGTCCAACACTCTGGGTCACACAGTGGCCAAAAATACCAGGTGCCATCAGGAGGTCCAGCATTGAGGCCAGGACACTAGGAGCCCTCCCACTATTGACCCCCCCCCCCAAGCACCAAGAAGACAGAGCATCACTTGCCCCGGAGCCCCTATCTATACCTTGTGGCTAATAGCCACCGATGGGCCTCTGCTCCATATGCTTGTCTAATTGCATTGCGATTTGTCAAGGGCCTCAGCTGCTAGACTGCAGGGTCAGCCGGCAGTCCGATGCCCCAGAAAACCGTTGAACCTTAAGAGCCATTCTGGTGAGCAGGGTGGGAGAACAGGCCGTGTCTGAGGGTCTGCATGCCATCAAGGGCTCCGAGAGGGACGCCGGCTCTTCCTGCTTCCCGCACTGACGTGCTGCAGAGATCCAGCGGTGACCCTCATGCGGCGAAATGTGCCCATTCTGACCGATGGTCGTTTCCCGAGATCTCAGAGGCGTCCTTCATGTCCCTTGAAGTTCTGTGACCCTTTCCCGAGACTTGATTCTCGCAATATGTTTCCATCTCTTTGGGCTGCACATTTAAGGACGGATCGGGGACAGGTAGCGAACATTTAATCCTATCCTTTTGCTCTGCTTTCCCACTGGAAATCACCAACTCTGGGTTGCTTTAACCCCCACCACCAGTGTTCCCTCTAAACTGGAGTCTTGTGAGCAAAATTTTTGCTTTGTGAGCTATTGGCGTTAAAGTTGTAAGCGAGCAATTTGGCTACTCCACAAATTAGCCTGCTCCAGAGCCCTCCTTCCTGAGCTAAGACAGAAATGTGTGAGTCGGAGGCTAAAAAACTGTGAGCTAGCTCGTACCAACTCAGCTTAGAGGGAACACTGCCCCCCACCACCACCACGAAGAAGAAGAAGAAGAGTTGGGAATTATAGCCTGCCCTTCACTACTCAGTCTCAGAGCGGCTTACAAACTCCTTTCCCTTCCCCTCCCCACAACAGACACACCCTGTGAGGTAGGCAGGGCTGAGAGAGCTCTGAGAGAACTGCGAAGAAGAAGAAGAAGAAGAGATTGGATTTATACCCCACCCTTCACTACCCAAGGGAGTCTCAGAGCGGTTTACAAACGCCTCTCCCCTCCCCACAACAGACACCCTGTGAGGCCGGTGGGGCTGAGAGAGCTCTGACAGAAACTGCTCTTTTACAAGAACAGCTCTGACAGGACTATGGCTTGCCCAAGGTCATCCAGCAGCTGCTTGTGGAGGAGTGGGGAATCAAACCCGGTTCTCCCAGATTAGAGTCCGCGCTCTTAAGCATAACACCAACCTCGCTTTCTGAGATAATTCTCAGTTTTCTTCAGTGGGTCTAGAAGCTGCTGGGGAGGGGGAAGCAATTTTCAGTGCGGCAAACAGGACAAGAGTTAAATCGCCTCACAAACATGACGCTGCCTTCTACTGAATCAGAGCCTTGGTCCATCAAGGTCAGTATTGCCTACTCAGGCTGGCAGCTGCTCTCCGGGGTCTCAGGCAGAGGTCTTTCACCTCACCTACTACCTGGTCCTTTTTAAGTGGGAATGCCGGGGATTGAACCTGGGACCTTCCGCATGCCAAGCACTGAGCCACAGCCCTTCCCACCTCCTCTCCAGTTTGGTGTAGTGGTTAAGTGCGTGGGCTCTAATTTGGGAGACCCGGGTTTGATTCCCCACTCCTCCACTTGCACCTGCTGGATGACCTTGAGCAAGCT